TATATATAGGGCCTATATATTATTATATATATAAAGATCAACACATGTAGTATGTACCTTGTGCAGGTTTGTAGGCACAGTAATGTACAATAATAATTTCTAACTTTGAAAAGTATGTAAAATAATAACAAAATAACTTCTCTGTCAAAAATAGGAACACTGTGCCAAGGCAAAATGTCACTTGTTCTTATAAAAACAAAAATTGTACTTCCTTAATATAATGTACGCTTTCCTTATGGATTAATCTATTATTGAATAGGACAACTGGAAAAATTGTGGATTGGAGATAGGAAAGACATAAAGAAATTTTAAATAGAGATGGGGCCAAGGGAAAGACTTCCACAGATGTGTCAATAGCACCTCATCCCTACCATGGTTGGGGGTTAGGTAAGAACATTTATGATTCTGGCACCTCTAGATGGCCGGAAATGGCACACTAGACTTAAATTTGAATATGATTTTCTTTTATATAATATTAAAAATTGCTGCCCCCACCCCATACTTGAATCCGCCATTGTGAAGGATAAGTCTTCCCACAGATTACACTTTACTTATATGGAAACATTTTAATTAGAAAATTACTTACTTGTTGGATAAAACTGATTTTAATGAAATTGGTTACAGTATATATAGTAATAAAAGATGATGAACTTTTTACTCACTGTAATTGCATGTCCTTACTAAAATGTCAATCCGAAAACTAGTCTCTTATACACATCTAGATGTGTATAAGAGACAGATACTGTATAGCCTTTATAAATTTAACTGGGTCAGTTATACCAATAGTCCTAGCTTAATATCAGCTTCTATGACCTAAATCTATTATCCGGGGACTACAGTTTCTGCGAAAAACACCCCATCCAGATTGATAGTGAGGTGCCACACCCTTTTGGGGTAATATAAAATCAGCAGATCTCTGGTATTAAGTGGAGAATTTATCCGACAGACACTAACAAACATCGTAAGATGGTTATTTTCATTAGAATTATCAGTGGCGAATTCAATGGTAGTTCCAGCTGCCCCCGCCCCCTTAAAGTTTTCAAAATTATTTCAAAAAATGGAGAGAAGAAAATTATAGTGCCAAATTATAAATGTTCTTACCTCAGTCCCAACCATGTGGGGCTGAGGTAAGACAATTAATGGCACTTTTAGATGGCCGGAGATGGCCATTTGAACATAAATAATTTTCGTTTTATCTCATTTTTTTTGTTACAATTTTGACAAAGCCGGCTTACCCCTTCCCCCACCCCATTTAACCCATCTCTGGATATAATATATATGTCTTACAGTCGATGTCAGAGACATATTATGCTGTCATTTATCAACAAAGCTCTTTTGGGTCAGCCTCACCTGTATTTAAAACAAAAATTATCCGCTACTATGCACTTGTTTTTGTATTTCCTATTTCATGAATCCTTAATGTTCGTAATTGAGATTCATTAAAAAAATTGTTTAGAGGTATAAATATAAAATAACAATTAACTATATAAAATGTTGGGCTTTGGAGTCGGCCGAATTATCCTCGCAACACACAGAGGGATACAGGTCAAACCGGCCCTAATCTTGCCATCAAAATTTAAACCCCTAAAGTGAAGGACATTTATTTTATATATATGCATGTGATATTTCCCGGCAGAGGAGCCAAGAAGAAAAAAAAAAAAAAAATTTAGGCCCGCCTTGGTGGTGGTGAAGTGGGTATGAAGTCTAGTCTTAACTTTAAATCTTGTGTCTACAGGATGAGGAGAGACAGTGAGGTAACGATGGGGGCGAGGCCTTGTGGCTTTCTGAAACTGGCGGCTCTTTTTGGGTCCAGGTCGCCAATTCCATTGTGGGATTTTAGGTGTGCACGTTTTTTGAATAATGTTTGTATTGTTATTGTAAATGTTTTTAACGACGAATAGGCCTAAATGATATGATATAAGTGGCGGATCCAGGTATTTGAAATAAAGGTGCCAGAGAAAGAATTTCACAGTTGGAGAGTCTATACCACCTCAGCCCTATCTGGTTGAGGTTGAATAAGAAAATTAAAGATTAGGCCTATGGCACTTCTGATGGCCGGAAATGGCACTCAGGCATAAAATTGTGAATATAATTTTCTTTTTATCTCCATTAAAAAAAAATATTTTAGCAAATTTAGTGGGGCCTCGGGCCTGCAGCCCCCCTCCCCCTTTTATTATTCCGCCACTGGGTATATGATATATGACCTACAGTCGATTTTAGAGACACATTATGCTGTTGCATGGTCGGGGCTGAAATAAGAAAATATATGATTATGGCAGGTCTAGATGGCTGGAAATGGCACTCACAGACTTAAAATTGTGAATATAATTTTCTTTTTATCTCCATTTTTACATTTTTTTGACAAATTTGTTGGGGTCCCGGGCTGACAGGGCCACTCTCCCTTTAATCCGCCACTGGATATAATATGATATATGCCCTGCAGTCGATTTCAGAGACACATTATGGTGTTATGATCAACAAAGTCATTTTTGGTCAGGGTGCTATAGATCGAGGAACCTATGTATGGGTATGGCCATTTCGGGGTTCCAGGGGTCAGTGGCCCTGCGGACCGCCGCATGAGAGCGCATGGGCGTTACGCCACTGAGAAGAGGCTCTACGGGTTTGCCAGCTGCTATTTCTGGCCATTCAGATGCACCAATATTTCCAAAATTTACTCACTTCAGCCCCAGTAGTGGTGGGGGCTGAGGTGAGTAGACTCTATTTTTGGGGGAAGGGGGGAGGTAGTGGCTCTACAAGTCGCCAGCATCTACATCCGAACATCAGTGTAAAAAAAGTGGGTCCGCCCGGGGATGAATACACCACTAACTTTCAATCCTGCCGTGGGATAGGGGTAGCAGGTCTGTTACAAGCACATTTTGTTAAGCGAACACTACCCCACCCTCCCCTCCCCCGCTCTTACATAATGGCCGGACCACTTGCAAAATGCGACGTATGTGTCAGAGGTTCTCTAGATGCACCTCTATAGATGCCAGGGACTGGCACTTTCAGACTGTAAAAATGCTTCTTAAAGCAGCGTCCCCCAACGAAATTCCTCGACGGGGCGTGCCACCAGACCTCCGCTGGCACCTCCACTGCTATTATTACCATGGAGAAAATATAGGACCAACTGTTCCTGTCCTGTCCGCCTATGCCAGCGAAGAATTTTCTTTCGTTTTTGTTTTTCATGCAGACCCAGTGCAGTGACTGCATTGCAAGGTGCCTGCTGCCTGTAAGAAAAGATCTTAGTTCGAATCCTGGTGAGCAAATTATGGAAGTCCTTTACTTTTAACTTAAACCTCGTAAAATCATGATCTCTAGGTTTTTTGGGCCTATATAGACATTAGGCCTATTAATACTGGCACACGTTTTGGTTTCGTTTTCAACAACGGTGTTTATGTTTTTACTATTGAGATGAAATTGCCGTCGAACTGCGAAACCCTTGTGAACATATAAGTGCATGTAATGTAGTCACAACACCAATACAAAATATAAATTTGCATAAGGGAATTAATATTCAACAATAATCATATATGCTGGTACAGTATTGTAAGCGATATATAATATTACCAGTGAGGAGTAAATTACGATGAGGTAATCCAGGTGTCATTTCTGGAAAAGTTTACACCCCGGGTCACACTCATGAATATTAACAAACCTATTTAAACAAGTTTTTAAAGTTTTGTTTATCACAATAGAAGCTAAAGATCAAAGTTCTGTCGCCCATTATTCAGCTACGAATGAATACTCCCTAACTTGTCTTGACTCGGTATTAGTCTTACTTGAATACCTTGACCTTTCTTTTGTCCCTTATTTCATTGTATTCTTCTGTGTCTTCGCTGTGTCTTGTGCACTGTTTTTCATTTCATATTTAAAAACATTTAAAAAGTGTTATTATATTTTTCAACCTTGATTAATTTTCTGGTGGTACCGGATTTAATGAGCATTTAAAGTGCTTACGACATAAATGCATTGTCTGTCTTTATTGCACGCTTTTATTTTGTACCATTAGTAATCTTTGCATTATGTGAATAGTTACATTTTGCTTGATGTTTTTGGGTCGCTTGGAAAGCTTATAACCCATCCAAAACTTCCTGCACAATTCATAACAGTAGGCTAGACATTGAGGGTTTCAATGCATAAAGATGTTTAGCCAATAAAAATAAAATGAAATTAATTATGATTGTTATTGTCACTATGTATAAATGATGTTCCCTAAAATTATTTCTTGATACTTATTTATTTTATGCTTCTTTTTTTTATAGGTACGAGAAAGAAATTTGCAATTTAGGTCAAGACAGTCATCATTTGCCAAAGATTTAAATGAATTTAAGCTGGTTGCCATTACAACAAATTAAATTTACAACAAAGTGTTTTGGAGTGCGCCCTCACTAACCATCATAAAAATACTATAAAAAAAACTAATTGTGTGGGAGGAGGTTTATCCAATCAAGTTAACAGTTTGAAGAGCACTTTTTTTAAAACCATATTTATAGAGGGTGACCTTTTGCCATTTCTGGGCAGGGCTGCAGTACGTGTTGACTCAATCCATGTGAAATTCTGGAACTTTTTTTCTCCCTTCGAGGAAAAAACCTGGACCTGCCAATGCTGACTATTGATGACAGCAACAATCCCAACTCTCACTGGCTATGCCCTTGAGTTGCCTCAAAATAAGAGGAGAGAAGTTGGGGGGGGGGGGTGTCAGAAAATGTGTTGCCATCCCAGGATATCTGATCCTCCTAATCTACCTCCTTGTCTGATCTACAGTATTAGTCTGTTTTATCTTGTTACTACTACGAAGAAATGCACAAAATCATCTTTAAATATGGGATGTCATTTATTGTTTCTGCTGATTCAACAGGGGAATTTTGTATTAAATTATCACATATTAATAGGTTAGTACGCCTCTATATATACTTGAAAGTTTGTTATAAAGAACACAAGTGTTATTACTTTAAAAATGCTAGGCCTACTAAATGATAAGAGTGGCAAAATCTAATATGTTTGGTCAATTGAGGATGCAATAAGAGTAGAGTATACCCAAAAATATAAGCCTGTATATTACTGGTCAATAAAACTACATACAAATTATTTATTATCTTGGGCAAAACTAAAATTATTTTTAAATGTTCATATTGTTGAATTGTCAATTTTAGAGAAGATAAGTCACTAGAAATTTAAACATAATTATATTTGACTCGAGATTTCCTCATCTCTGACTATTATCAAAATCAAAGTTCTGAAAAAGTTTTCATATTCTTGTGAAGTTGGCATGCAAAGCTATCCCATAATTCCTTTGAAGCAACATTGCAACACATCACTGGAAGCCACCTTCTTGATCTCTTGTTTGCTTAGGAAAAAATGTCCAATGTTTGAGTTTTAATCACATTGATATCAATTTTCAAGATAAAGTAATGTGATTAATAATATCATTAGTAGTACAGTACGTGTGTGAAAATCCTAAACCGGCTTTTTGTTCACATGACAAACTATTCCAGCTTGATGGTATTTCACGAGTCAGGTGTGATGTTACGAATCGACGAGGAACAATCTAATTAAGTCCACATTAATAATAATGATTATTATAGCGTAATTTTTACTCTCGTTTTTGAAGATAACAAATGCAAATGTTCTTGCTACATCTATCTAGGCCTAGCCTGGCCTACAGTTGTGAAGTTCAAATTCTGAAAATGTATTAACAAACGCAAAAGCCATTCATAGGTAATCGGTTGGTAAACTGCTTTGGTCTCCACGGTACGGGCTATTTCCACTTCTACATATTCATCGATTCTAGATATTCGGCAATTACAGCGACACCCTTATTCAAATTTCCTTGTTGGCTGCCTTCAGGACAATGGCCGATAACGATGGCCGTTTTAGATGCCTGTAACGTAATGGCACCATGCTCCTTTTTTTTGCCCAAAACCAATTTCTTATCTTCTTCTCTCAAAAACTGATATTTGGTACTTTCGCATAATATACCACCTGACATGAACGGAGTGAAATCTTTGCTTTTGAAACACCTAGCTATGTTGGGTCCCTCTTGGCCCTGCAACTTCAATGCATTGGCGTGTCCTGCAGTAGTCCATGGAGCTCCGCCGTCCAGACCGATTATACAGGCTTTGTCTGCATGGGCAGCTCCACTTGAATCCTTGGTCTGAGCCAATAAATTATCAATGTATGAATCCCAACTCATGATTTTAATGAAATTAAGAACTATATAACGAAGTAAGACAATTAACGAATGTACTTCTTGTGTCGAATGCACTTCCGCCTAATCGGGCAATGATCGTCTTTGCAATGGCAACGACTTACTCCCGCATGTGCGAATCTCACATTGACGGAATACCGCCCTCTAATCCTATTGTACGCACCTGTCAGTTATTCACAGACACATACCGGTACCTGACAGAGATTCTAGGTAAACTTACCGTATTTATTCGATTAAACGCTCGGGCGTTTATTGTTGAGAAGGGTTTTCTTAGGGAGCGTTTATTCAAAGGAGGAGTTTATTCGAGGGAGGCGTTTATTTTAGTTGTAAAATGGTTACGTATGTATATACAATATAAAATAAATGACAGCAGCACTTTTGAAACTAACAATATATAATTTATTCTCTAGCTTTCGTCCACACAGTGGACTTCATCAGATAGGATAAGAAGCAACTATATTAAAGTGGTTTCTTATCCCATCCGTACAGTCTCCGGATGAAGTTTACTGTGTGAACGACAGCTAGAGAATAAACTCTATATTGGTAGTCTCAAAAGTTCTATAACAAACTACGCGCGCGGCTACACTTTTTATTTATCATAAGTATATACGGTACTCAAATAGGCCTAAACGCCTCTTAATTTCACTGTAAATGTGGAACTATACTACATCAACACATAATTACTGCCAAAGATCATAAAAACTTATTAATCATAATCAGGCTAGGAAAAAATGTAATTCTACTGGAGTAGAACATATAATACAATGTGTTAAGAATGATGTGTATTCAGTTAGACTTGTTTTCAGTCATTTATGCATGTAGCGTTTATTCGAGGAAAAAATAAACGCCCCCGAGAAAAGGCGTTTATTACAAGAAGCTCTGAGGGGGCGTTTATTTTACCGTATTCAAAGCAGGGCGTTTGAATACGGTAAGCCCAAAACAAAAATGAATCAACAAGGAAAAGGATTGGTATGGTACGAATCTGATTTCAAGATTGTTCTCATATTCATTTTCCCCCTGGCCAAATGTTTTTACTAATGGCACAAGCTTTTTTTGCGCTCACACCGCCCACCCCCCCTACATACGCCACTGGATTTAAAGTTTGCACGATAAGAAGTATCAGGTCTGTAAATCAGCAAAAACAACTCAGATAGTGTGGCGTGTCCGGGGTTGGCGGGGAGGGGCTCCAATAGTCTCCTCCCATATTGGAGATGTTCGAAGCAAAAAAATCAGGCTCAAGTAGTTATCTTCACGTCCCGGTTAAAATAAAACCAATTGTTTTTATTGGTCCTTGAAATGGATATTGGACTAATATTTAAGTCGTTAAATGTCCAATGTGAATTTGGTGGGCCTTTTCAATGGCCACTGCTACTTTCATTTTCTTTAGCCTTTGGCATTGGACTGATTTTTTAAAAACTTTTTATGTGAACTGAGAGAACAGCTTAGCTCAGTCGGCTAATCTGGTGGAGCCATTGTGTGTGTGCTGAACTGTGGAGATCTCTGGATCCCGGTTCAATTCCCATCGCTGCCTCTCCTTATGTTTCTGCTGGAAGACTGAAAATTTTCAATAGTCCGTCTTTCGGATGAGACGGTTAAGCGGCCGTTGGTCCCGTGTGCATTTATGGCCCTGTGCACGTTAAAGAACGCAGTACACTCTTCGGAAAAGAGTAGGGTTGTCTCCCGGTGTACTGCCCAATCACCACCAGAAGGACCCCACTGGAAATAGTCTTCTTTAGACTTTCGTGTGCTATCCTGGTGTCTACCCCGAATAACCAATCCAACTTTGTTTCCAAGTCATAATTTGAATATTTCTGAATCAGACGGTTCTCTATTCATTCTACTCCATGTTTGTATTTTTTAAAAAAAGAAGAATTTTGATTACGGTGTGGATATGATAACATTTTTTGTCAAAATTATGTATAACTTATCTGTATTTCAAAATTAGAAAATCATAGGCCTATTATTTATAGACAGATTTGATTATAGACGTATTCTAACAAAAAATCGAATTATTTCTCTAGATTTAGAAATAAAGAGAGACAGTTCTCTAAATGTTACTTTGTTTTGTAAAGGGGCCGAAGGCCTAAAATACAAATAAATGTCCTAGAGCATTGAACGAACGAACGATATGCCTTTGGAATGTGCTAGATTAGCACTACATGATACGCACTCATACAATTCGTACTTTCGGTACCACCCTTGCCGCCGCTAACTTCTACTTCCGCGTTTCGCCTCCATGGAGAGGCAGGTTGCGGTTCCTCGCACAATCGGAATGACACTCCCGTAAATCGAGTTTCGGCGTGTGAATGGAATTATACCACGTGATTAAATACCTGCGCAAGAGCACTATCCAAATACTTTTTAATTATTTAAAAAAATATTTCAATGTATAAAATAATTATTGTACGTATAAAGTCATAAATTAAACTATGTTAATTTTTAGAAATAATAATTGTAATAATAAATGTAAAAAAATGTTTATTGAAAGTCTTTTATCATTATTAATATAATAAATTTACAGAGCCTAGACAGGACGCTAAATTCCTTGGACACGGAGAAAATGGACGATTAGTGGGCCTAGAAAGTTGGTAAATATAATTTTATCTTGTGTTACCGTTGATATATTTGATGCCGAGTTTAAGGAAAGTAACTATAAGTTATTGTTAATGATAGAAAATGCATTTGGTAAATTTTATAGCGAGAAAAGCGTCAGTGACTGAGTGAGCACCTTGTTTTTTCCGTTGTTGACATTTCGGCAGATAGGCCTAGGCTACGGCCTAGCCTAGGCCCTAGGCTACGGCCTAGGCTAGGCTAGGCCTACATAGCTAGGCTAGATGAGATGGTTGTGTAGGCCTAGGGCCTAGGCCAAGTTAGGTGGAGACAAGAGTAGAGTGCCAGTACCACCGGACCGAGCAGCGAGGAAGAGTCCAGCGGGACCTCATCGGGGACCTCATTCACTGTAACTGATCTTTTGGGTCCACTAGAGGAGGCTAGGCTAATCATGGAGGTAGGCCTAATATTAGTAGTAGTAGTACTAGTACTAGCCTTAGGCCTAGACTTACAGTAGCGAGGAATTTTGCTAGACCTAGGCCTATATCAGGTAGGTCTAGCTAGGATGTAGCCTAGGCCTAAAATTTACATTCCTGCAAATGTTTATATTTTTAATGCAATTTTTAACTGCAGGCTTTTTTTACCTTTTTATAAATAGGGCCTAGGCTAGACCTAGCTCGATATAATTTTGAATGTTTAAAGTTTGTACAGTAATACTATCATTTTTCTTTTTAACAATGCCAAATAAATTCAATCCAGTGAACTGAAAATCTGATTATTGGAGCAGTTTATTATGGAGAGGAGTCACAGCAAGTGCAATTCATTACCTATTCTTCATAAAAATGATGATCAATGCTCCTTGATTTATTCCTAAAAAAGAATGTTAAGGAGGTTATTTATATGGAAAAAAATTGTAATACTAAAAATGAAAAAATATTAATGAAAAATCCACAATGAATGAAGAAATTTTAAAATTGTTTCACATAGAACAGAGGTCTACAACATGCAAGAAAATTAATGCAATATATATGTGAAGGTTTTGAAGTTTTTAAAGTTTCTTATTCATTCTCAAGATCCTTCCACATACTTGGGACATAACCTCTCTAAGGGATGCATTTAAGATATTGGTTATTGGGACATTCAACTCGCATGCAAATTAACTTTTTAGGCACATTCAAGACTTATTTATAACCTCCGGCAACAAAGTTGAAGGAGGTGAAATGTTTTCGCCCCTATTTATTTATTTATTATATTTATCTGTGTGTGTGTGTGTGTGTGTGTCTGTGATCAGCCTACCGTCCACAGTTTTTATCGGAAACTCATCAAACTTGGACACAATGTTCCTTGACCCAAGATCTAGAGGTAATTAAATTTAGAAGAGTCAGAGTTCAAGGTCACAATCAATGAAAAACCATTTTTTAACTGTCTGCCGTATAGACATGTGTTTATGTGTTTATGGGGCTTGCCAAAGAAATATAACAAAGTAGCATTAATTTTACAGCGATTCATGTGAAAACAGTTTGGTGTAGTGGTTAGCAGAGTGTTTTCTAAACCACCGATCCCGGGTTTAAATCCTGTCATGTCTATTTTTTCTTTCATTATCTTTTATTTCATTGTCCGTACTACTAAACATAACATCTTATTACTGGTCAAGCTATTTAGGCATCATCACAACACTGAATGCATTTTTTTCATGGGGACAATATGCGTGGGAAATTTATACTGAGATGATTTATGATGTGAGCGGAGGTATGCACTCTCAGACTGCCCTCTAGTTTCAACTTCTATTTAGCAAAGATCATTGCTGTCTTAATTAATTAGACAATAGATTATTAAACACATAAAGAGACTTTGTCAAAACCTAAAAAATGTCTGATTTTTTTACTTTCTTTTTTATTATGCAGTAGGCCTACCACTATTCGAATATGGATTGCATGTGTAGAAGTGTCCAAGTGAGACAACATGTATTAGTAAATTGAGACTTCAGAACTCACACATGCAGCAAAACTACACAAAGAAGAACCGCTTCAAAATGGAAGAAAACTATTGCAATATATTATAAAGAATCTTGAACAATTTGAATACGTTGCACAAATTATGACATATCTACCAGCATGGTGATGGATTTGGGGAGGACATCATTCTTTTACCACCGGCCCTTAAATGAACATCTTTTACAGCTTTTTGTAGTCTTTATTTGTATCTGGATGACATTTTGTAGCAAAGATTTATGGGTATTTGACCATAACTCCACAGGTGATATGCAAACGAAGCTCACATTGCGTGATAAAATAGCTGTTGTAGGGAAAGTATTCCTGTATCACATTCTGTATAAAAATGAGGAAAGGAGTTCTTCTTTACAGGTAAGTTAAGTGCAGATACAATGTATGTAGAATTATTATTTAAGTTTTAATTACATTTCGCACTGGGGTAATAGCAAATTCATTTATTTTAAAAATTACTACGTACAGTACTGTAGTTCTTCTGGTATAAGCCCCTCCCTGAACATTAAATTTGGCCACTATTTTAATGGTTGCAGTTGTAAACAAGATTTACTATGTAGATTTAAAATACAGTAAGGTGTGATTACAAAGATTTTAATTCAGAATAATAAATATTAAAAATAAAATATGGTACTGTAGGCTAAACACATCAAACAAAACTGAAATGGTAAAATTAATAGTAAAACCATAAAACAAAACTATAATCTATGTACACAATCGGTGATACTATAAATAGATTTTTTTTTTTTTAGGTAACTGAAGCCGGGAGTGAATCTCTTCCTGATTGGCTGAAATTTAACAGAGATGATTCAACACTGTATGGCATTGCAACTGTGCAGGACATAGGATACCATTATATCAGTGTCACCATCACGTCTATGAACAATGAATCCTCTAGAATTAACTTCAGAGATGTTTTCACTGTCGATGTGATTCTGAGCTCACCAGCTGCTGAAGAATCAAATATTGGTTTTTATGATAATTTCAATAGCGAACCATTCATCAAGTTGACCTATGAACCCAGGCTGGAGCCCTGTACACCCAATCAGCCCCGTTTTTCAGCGACTATTATCATATCTACATCTTTCCAGCAACTCAATGGTCAAGAAAGGGTAGAAATTGTCCTCAGATTTGCTAAATATGTGTTTCGCAGTCCAGTTGATCTCACCTTGAGTCCTCGAAAAAGTGCAAGTATAACACGTCTTCTTAAGAAGTCTATTGTGGCAGCTGGGCCTGGGAATATAGATGGAGACTCAAAGGAAGAGGAGGGTGTTGAAATAACATGGACTCTAACTTGCAATTCTCAATTTCATGTAGATTATTTTACAAGAATAATGGAACACAATATCTTAAGTGGCACTTTGGTTGATGTCATTGGATACTCGGTACTTGGCTGGTATATCACCAGGGACGAACCGAAGATCAAACCATTGAGGTTCCGACGACAGGCAAATGACATAATTAATGAGACACCGGTACCAACTCCAAGTCAGACCATGGTCCTTCCAACTAAAGTACAGAGCACAGTATCTTTCTCTTTTCCATCCACATTGATAAACTTTGATTCCACCGTTACAATTGAATTTACTCAGTCTACCTTAATACGGACTGTAAATGTTTCTAGTGCTTCATCCTTCATGACATCCTCACCATTTTCCTCAAGTCCAGTTGTTCTGACATCTTCACCAGCCTTTGCATCTAGTTCATCAGATGCTATATCTGATATAGTTATGACTATGTTTTCTTCAGGATCTATTTCGTTGCAGACATTCCTGACATTCTCACCATTCTCCACAAGTCCAGTTTTCCAGATGTCAACATCATCAGTTGTTACAACATTGGAGCCTGCATCTTCATTCATTCCTGGGTTGACTGCATCAATTTTCAATGAAACCGTTGAACTTTCCTCTACAACATATGTCACTATATCACCTTCAATACCATACTTACCATTTACCTTTTCTCCAGTTGCCTTAAGCTCTCAAACCAATCCTGAAATGAGTTCTTCAGCTTTTCGTGATTACAGCAGTATGCAGACATCCTTCACCACATACGACTCAACAAGCATGTTCACAGAACCGTCCACTTTTGTGGTTCGGATTTCTACTGAATCGCTCACAATTTCAAGCTTATTGCTCAAGTCTGACTTATCAGCATCATCACTTGTAAAGACATCTGTACCAGAGACATTGCAACTAATAACTTCATCGGAATTTGAAGTCTCGACAACTCCTCTTTTATCATCTATGTTAACTCCCTTCTCTTCGTTTATGTCTCCTAGTATGTCATCTGAATTCTACAGTCCACATGAAACGTTATCTTCAACTCAATTTCAGTTATACTCATCCACTTATAGTCCTAGTTCCAGCTTTTTTTATCGACAGATGCTAACAAGTTCTTTTGAGTATAACTTGGCAACTAGTTCCTTATTAGAGGAATATAGTTTTCCAGTATCTTTCACTGTGTCATCTTCGCAACTGTCAACGCCTGTCTCTAGCAGATTGATGGAATTGTCAACAATGATTATACCATCATCATTCTCACAGTCAGTAACTATAGACAGCAGAGTGTCATCAGTGCTACCAACATCATCTCTGTTAGCATCCTCCGTAAAGGAATCTAGTATTTCATTATCATCTGCATCCTCATCTGCTATTCCTTCATCAAGTTTTGAAGGTTACCTAACATCCTCACCATCGCTTGTCACTTCAAGCTCGATGGAAACCTCAGATGTATTTCTCACTATGTCACCAACATTGCCATTATCCATCCTGCCATCAGTCTCTATATCATCCAAAAAAATTGAAATAGTGACATCATCTCTTAAATTCACTTTATCTTCATCACAACTAGTTTCAACATCTATTTACTTCTCCAGCAGTTTGATGTCAACGTCAAAATTTATTACACCAATGCCATCATCATTCCCACCATTAACAACTGTAGCTCCATCAATGCATCCGACACCAGCTCTGTCAACATCTTTCATGGCACCGTCAATTAAAATCCCTCTGACATCAGTCCAGCAAATGATATCATCTGAGATCATGCCAACACCATCTATTTCAAGTGTGATGATTTCATCTAGTTTGCTAGTAACTCCAGGTAAGATTATTGTGCTCAGGAACTTATACACAGCAGTGTAGGAGTGACATTTCTTAGTTCAGGTGCTTGCTTTTTAATCTCAGGGTCCTGGACACAAATCCTGTAAAATCTGGACTAAAAAACACATTTCCACCCTCTACTGTATGCCTTGTAGTGAGACTTGCATTAGAACTTTATTTAAGGGGGAACTGAATATTAGCTGACCTGGGATAAACTGGAGGGGCTGTTATCTATAAGTATGGATTTAAAAAGTCTCTACAATGAATTATTGCTATAATGAACAACAGTACATTACCTCTTTTATGCCATACATTATTGGCAACTAAGTTTATCTCAGGAATAAGTGAAGCCTCTGGGTAATGTGCTTTACATCATCTTCTCTGGCCACTGAATCTCCAAACACTATGGTTCAAACACATATCTGGCTCCCTGTGAGGAGCATAACTTCATAAGGTTGCAGCTACACTGTAGTAATCAACAAAAGTTTAAAAAAATTTGTTGGACTCGAACCCCTGATATTGATAGGCTAATCCCTTTACTGTATCTCTGCACCACATAAAATTCACTCACCTCTGCTCTAACATTTCCAGCACCATATTATTTAATACCAGACTTTCATATACTAGTAATTTTTCCTTCTTTTATTCTCTTTACTGAATCTCTTTATTTCCTAATATTTCATCAAACGTGTGGTTATTGTTCATGTAACTTATCACTGTTATACTGTATTGTTAATATGCATTGGATCTGGGGCTTGTTGATTTAGACACTTTCCTTTCTTTTCAAGGGTCATGGGCTCAAATCATTCACCAAAATATTTCCTCACTGTTAAAAAAAAAACTCCATTTCCTTACACTCCCTTTTAGTTTATATAGCCTCTTTCAATTCTATAATTGATGAGTGAATTGTTGTTACATGTGAAAGTATAAAAGAAAAGTTTAAAAATATAATTATATTTGGGCTTGAAAATATTGCTCGATTATCATCTACAATTTATTAATTAATTTTATTTTTTTTTGCAGAACCAGTTAACCAAGGGCCTGTTGTCCTCAATGCTATTAATCACATCACAATCCTAATTGGACGAGTTCTGACCTTCAATATTCCTGCTGACACTTTCTACGATCCAGAAGATGGAGATACACGCAACCTAGCACTTGAACTACTAACAGGAGATAATCAGCCTATAGAGGGCTCTTCATGGGTCAGGTTGGATGCCAAACTACAAATTATATATGGATTAGCATTAGATACCATGCTAATTGACCAGAAAATTGTGTATAATCTTTTTGCAACAGATTCTGAGGGAAAAAATGTATTTGATGCATTGTACATTGAGGTAGTGCCAGACCCTTATGTGTACACGCACCAATTCCTCATCACATTTAGCAATAACTATGATGACTTTTCAAGAGATGTTAATAATGCTATTGATGTTTGCCAAAGATTAGCTGATTACTACGGTGATCCAAGCACAGATAAGATTACTGTATTGTCCATTAGTGAGGGATCCGTTGTATATGTATATGCTAACAATAGTATTTCCAACAGAATTTGTGATATGGACGCGATTAATAGGGAGTACAGTCGGCTAGCCTATGCAAATGGATCAGTTAATGTCGGTGTTAAGATCGTCATGCAACCAAAGTATCCAGTTGTATCAGTCCAGAAACATTTAAAGGGAGTATGTTTACTGAAGCCACAAACCACCAATGTACCAAATGTAATTTCAGAAATACAGCGGAGCAGTAAACAGATAGTCTCCATCACCATACCCGCCTTTCTGTGCGCTTTATTACTTTTATTGATTGGTATTTGTGTCTGCTGCTGCTACAAACGCAAACGACACGGAGAGGAATTCCTGCTACGTGAGGAAAGAGACATGTTTGTTCGTAACCGTAAGCCAATATTTCTGGACAATGAACTTGAGCCTAGGCTGACAAAGGCAACAAAACCAGTGGTGTTGCCAAAAGATATCTCGCCTTTCCAACCCAGTCCAAGGACTGGAAGTGCACCACTGGAATCTAGGCCGTCTCCGCCATCATACCTAAATGAAGCATATGAGAAGGACGACCCTGACAATGGCATCCCCATGCCATTTTTCCCCCCACCAGCTTACTCCCTGCAGCCTACTTTCAACCGACTCCCTTTATCATACTTAGACCCACCAGGCTATCGTTTACCACCAGCATATGAATCGGAAGATGTAGGGATGTTTGAAACATCAAAGATTTAAAGAATCATAGAATTATATAAGTATTGAGAAGTACAGAGTTCACCTTGCTTCATTCTTAAGCCCAGTTAAAACTATCAAAATTTCTTTCACCTGTATACCAATGGCTTAGCCAGCGAGCCGTCCAGCCGTCTTTTGGATGGCCAACAATTACTTTAGAACGGCCACTGGACAGTGATAAAAAAAATCATGTTAATACCATTCTGCTCAAATCTGTTAAAAATGATTGATTCTGTACTTATGTAAGGTTTAGTTGTTTTACACTTGTTTAACTAGTTTTGATTAACTTTTTTGTAATACAATTGACAAGTGCTGTTATTATGGCTTCCAATTCTGAACAAATTGACATGCGTTGATACTTAATTTTGGGTTCTTCTTCCTACTGGCTGTTTTTGAGGGAAATTCTACTTTCCGTTGTAACCCACCAGCCATTATGAACAAAATTTCACATTGTCTTAGCACAAGCTTTCAAGTTCTGTAAGTTTGAACTATAATATAACTAGATTAAACTTTTATCAGTATTGTTACAGTACATGAGGTTTTATTAAACGTCTAGCTGGTTCTAGAGGTTTAAAGATTTTAAAGGTTAAACGCTATACATTTATACGTACTTTACTTGCATTCTAGTCTTGTATGATACCTTTGATAATTGTTTCAAATTTATTTGGTACAACCAATTCAATACAGTAAGTTCAAGCAGAAATTTAAATATCAATTTGTTTATTATCTTAAATGATATTTTTACTGATAATGTAATATTTTGTAGTTAGAAAACAGAGTTTTTTATATGCATTCCAGCCAAATGTTTTTAAGCAAATATACCTAAAGTGAACCTTAAATTTGTTTTAACTGTTCATAATTATATAATCTACAGTACATTTATATTATGTAATGTTTACTGTATGCTATTTTTTTACAATATTTATTGTGTTGACTTTTTTAAATGATTTTGCTTTAAGCTGAGTTGAATATTGATGCTACGTACTTATATTCCTGTCTTGTATGATACCTTTGATAATTGTTCCAAATTTATTTGGTACAACCAATTCAATACAGTAAGTTCAAGCAGAAATTTAAATATCAATTTGTTTATTATCTTAAATGTTATTTTTACTGAGTTTTTTATATGCATTCCAGCCAAATGTTTTTAAGCAAATATACCTTGTAAAGTGAACCTTGAATTTTATTTAACTGTTAATAGTTATATAATCTCCATTTATATTATGTAATGTTTACTGTATGCTATTTTTTTACAATATTTATTGTGTTGACTTTTTAAAATTATTTTGCTTTAAGCTGAGTTGAATATTGATGCTTGTTTTGTTTATGTGTATTGTATCTTTGTATGAGGCACCCTTTATTCCAGGTTACACTGCAAAGCTGGGCACACACCGCGTCAGCTGAGGGTCATCTGATGCAGTCCCATTGATACCACAAGGGTTAGTGTGTGATGGAGGACGATCCACTCACACTAATACTCACAGTAAGCAAAATGCAGTGTGTGCTATTCTTAAAAGTGGCCCTCAAGAAAATTTCAGGTTTTTTAAATAATTAAATCAGTAATGGATTCAGGGAGAAGGAAGGGCACAGCCAACTCCCCCCCCCCCCCCCCCCCCCCCCCCCCCCCCCACTAAATTTTTCAAAATTATAAAAAAAATAATGGGGAAGAAATAATAATATATTCAAATTTAAATTTTGGAGTACCATTTCAGGTGCCATAATCATAATTTTTTCTTACATCAGCCCAACAATTGGACTGATGTGGGTAGGCGCCCTTCACTTTGAATTCCTGAATCCATCACTGTAAATCAGTATTTCTTTGTTATACACCTTGACATTTGTAGCTTATTAATGCTAACCACCCCCCCCCCCCCCCCCCCCCCCCACTAAATTTTTCAAAATTATAAAAAAAATAATGGGGAAGAAATAATAATATATTCAAATTTAAATTTTGGAGTACCATTTCAGGTGCCATAATCATAATTTTTTCTTACATCAGCCCAACAATTGGACTGATGTGGGTGGGCGCCCTTCACTTTGAATTCCTGAATCCATCACTGTAAATCAGTATTTCTTTGTTATACACCTTGACATTTGTAGCTTATTAATGCTACTATAAACGCCACCTGATTTCTTTCAATGCCTACCGCTTTTACAATTGTTTTAATCTACAATTTTGAGAAAATAAAGAGAGATTAAAAATACGATTTTTTTTTTTGTGTAATATTGTATTGTTTTATTGAATAGACAAAAGAAATATTTGTTGTTAATTACAACTTAATTAAAATGTTACTATATGGACTGTAGTGTTACATCCAGTTCTACATATCAACATATTGAGTACATCCAAATCATCTGTATTAAGGCTTTGGAGAGTCGAAGTGAATTTTTGATTTAACACTGAACGACGCATACAAACTTACAAAAATACAGACATGTTATGGTGAAAATTGGTTATTCTAATTCTTCTGTTATATTCAGATATTATGTTGTCAGAATGGAATGCAACCGTTTACTGAAGATGACCTTTTGAATGTCATGATATTCTGATGATGAGGATGCTAGAGTTGAGAATGGGACACCTACCTGAAAATTATTTATACCACAGACAGTGATTTAGTTTGAAAGATGATCTTTGAAACATAGTAGGCCTGTCTAAGTTTAAATTACAACTAGGATGGATTAAATAACATTTGTAAATATAATAAGTGTTGATTTGGCCTGTTAAATATGATACATCATTTTTAGTGTAGACAAAAAAAAAATGAAATACATTAAAACAATTGATAAGCAATATTTTAAAGCTGTTGCAGGTATTAATTTTAAATGTGGAATATAAATGTTCCTTCTGCATTAGTATCACCACAGGAGGTAATAGACCGGGAGCCCAGAAAATTTAATGTGAAAAGAGACAAAAGGTTTGATGGTCTGGTCATGATAGTATAGGGCCAAGATAAAATATTCAGTATTGCTGCCGGGGCACATCCTGTACAAGCGGGCTGGGGGAATTGAAATAGGGGGTTAAATAATGCATTTAATCATGTGGAGAGAGACATGGATAAAAATAATTGGATATTACTCCCAGGTAGATACTTGCTATAATGTCACAGGTGACAGCAACTTTTACCTGTACGTGACCTTAAACAGTGACATTAAAGGCCACGCCCAAATACATTTAATCACGTGAAGAGAGACACGGATGATTTTTTTTTTATTGGAACTGTTATACATTGGGGGTAACAAAAATACCAATGACAGCAACTTTATCCTGTACATAAGCCCAGACAGCAGCCCCAAGGGACCCACGGGGGTCTTATAGAACAGCAGCATGATAAAATCAAGCAAAGAAAGACATGAATGAAACCAACTAGGAATTACTACATTGTAGAATGCTGAAACACCGATGACAGCAATTTTTTTCATGTACGTGACCCTAAACAGTGACATTAAAGGCCACGCCCAAATACATATTTAATCAT